TTGAAAAGCCCTGGTCTAAAGAAAAGAAGAAATAGGGGAGACATGATAGCAGTATTCCAGTATCTGAGGGGCTGCCACAAGGAAGAGGGGGTCACCTTGTTCACTAGACCACCAGAGGGAAGGACGAGAAACAATGGTTGGAAATTGATCAAGGAGAGAAGCAACCTGGAATTAAGGAGAAACATTCTGACACTGAGGACAATCAACCAGTGGAATAGCTTGCCCCAGAAATCGTGGGCGCTCCGTCACCGGAGTTTTTTAAGAAGAGACTAGACAATCACCTGTTTGAGAGGTATAGGTTCTCCTGCCTGAGCAGGGGGCTGGACTAGAAGACTTCCAAGGTCCCTTCCAGCTCTATTCTATTCTATTCTATTCTATTCTATTCTATTCTCAGATATTGTTCTGAACAGTTTTAATTAAGATAGCATCCCCATTTCAATACAACCAGTCTCACCATAGCAAAGCCATAGAATCCTCTTTCATATTATAACCACTGGATCCAAGAGTGAACAGACCAGTTATTATTGGAATCAGTAGCATCATTTCTTTTAATTTTAGTATATCTGGACTATACTGCAGATTTTTTTAACATAACACATTTAATGAATACAAGAAATAACTTCATGACAGAAATTTCTATAATCAAAATTATCACTAAGATACTGAAATAGTTCTACAGGGTTCCAGGCAGGTATGCAAGCAACCCCCCCCAAACCTATACTTATACTAATCAGTTCCCATTGTTCTTGCCTGCTTTAACAAAAGGCAATCAAGTGGTAAGGCCCGAAGACTCAAAATTACATTTAAGTATTAATACTTAAGCATTTATTTATTAGCATACTATGAAATAGTTCCTAAATTCAATGTTAATAGTTCATGGGAATATCAGCATAACTATCTTGATATCCTATTGATATAAATTCAGGCAAAAGTTCTACTTAGTGGAGCTAACACCAACATTAATATGGATGGGATTGTAAGCCTAAACAGAGACATGTTTGGGGGATGTTTTTTTTCAATTTGGTACCCAAATAACAAAAACTTAACAATTATAACTGAATACTATAGAAATCCTATAGTTCCATTGAATAAGCTGAAAGATTTCCAAAAAGAACATGATTAAAATTTTGAATAATTATGTGGGGGGAGGAGTGACAAAGAGAGAGAGAAAGAGAGAGGGAACAACATATTTTAAAACTAATCATTCCTTAATTTTCATGGTGAAATTCTATTTCCTATTAATTTGCAAAGTATAAAATATGAATTTGTAATTTCTGCAAGCATCATTTTGTCAGTAATGTGAGCAATTAACATTTCACACTGAACTAATAAAATCAGTTTAAATGATGATGATATATGATCCATTTATGTTCAACATTGAGTTTGCTTTATCAGAAGGAATTATGAAGGTACAGAGGATGTTTTAATTATTATTATAAAGGTACAAAGAATTCTTTAAAGGATTCTTTTACTGTCTCAAAATGCTGTTCCCATTTTAACAGCTATCTGGATAAGTAGTAACAGAACCTGAAGCAGCTGCATAAATCACACACTGTTTCCAGATTAGGTTCCTAAGAGCTGGGCCATGTAGTATAGGGTGGGGAGAGGAGCATAATTCAGTGGAAGAATATAATGGTTTGTGTTAAGTCCGGAGAATAATGGCGCTTGAGACGAAGCATTTCTAACAAGTCTTTATTCTCTGCTTCCAATCTACAAACAACCCGAGCAGAGGCACGTAGGCCTCTATTTATACCTTCTGATCCCCGGGCAATTCCAACCAATCACAAGGCAGTCTTTTCCCGCCTTGCGCATGTGCGCAAGGCCGGCGCCACTCAGTCTGGTCCCGGGCAGCTTTTGCAAATGCCCGGGACTCTTGCAACGTCCCGAGCCTGCTTTTGCAGGCTCAGGACACAACACCCCTCCCCCCTAGATGAAATAATACTGCGCCCACATGGACGCCATTATAATAATGGTTTATGTAATTAACTGTTATATTAATGTCACAATGTGGGTGTAAGGTGTGGGGCTGTTCCGTCGTACAGAGACCCGATGGCCCCAACATCGTTTCCATAAAGTCAACCAGCCTGGACCTCTAGTTCAGTTATTAATATATATACATGCTCACCTTACATAATCTGCAAGGTATTTGGGAGGGCCTTTGACCCTTAGCGACCTTCTCGGACCTGGGGAACTTGTAGTGTTTTCCCCGTTGCTTCCCACACTAGGTGAATTGCCCTGTGGTTGTCTTGTGACTTCTGTCTGACTTTCCTGCCCATCTCCTAGGCTCAAGAAGTCAGGACTCTGCCGATCACTATACCTGGTTCACCTACCACCTATGGAGTTTTCCAACCCCTCTGAACTCATCTCCGTGTTTCTTGATGGAGTGTGGTTTTCCTGGCTCCTTTCTGTAGTGATAGGGTCTAGGGGTACCTCCCTGTTAGCCCTAATGCGTGGGGACATCCTTCTATGAGCCATTTCTGCAAAGGACGTGTTCCCCCTTTGTTTTGCCTGCTCTCTTGCATTTTGTGAGTTGTGAGTGTGCTCCCAGTCATTCTCCATGTCTGGAGTATTGTTGGTGAGGTGTGGATAATTAGTATACCTCCTGTTGTGTCCTGAGCCTGCAAGAGGCAGGCTCGGGACGTTGCAAGAGTCCCGGGCATTTGCAGAAGCTGCCCGGGACAAGACTGAGCAGCGCCAGCCTTGTGCACATGCGCAAGGCAGGAAAAGCCCGCCTCATGATTGGTTGAACTTGCCCGGGGATCAGAGGGTATAAATAGAGGCCTGCGTGCCTCTGCTCTGGTTGTTCGTAGAGTGGAGCAAACAATAAAGACTTGTTGGAGATGATTCGTCTCAAGCGCCATTATTCCCAGGACTTAACACTGGCGACGAAGGTGGGATTCAGTCTCTACAGCTAAGAAA